GGAGGGAGGGGGTAACTCAAGCTGAAGCGTATCGAAGTCGTTGGAGTAATATACCCAGCAAAAGCATGAAGTGCGATATTTTTTCTGGTTCCCAAGTTAGCGATTTTCGTACCAGGAACCCTCACGGACCCATACGCGGTGGGTATCACACACACCTGGGAGCTGAATTTGAAATCTTTGAGTTCTATGTAGACGGGGAACATAATCTCAAAATTTCAGCTTTCCAACTTTTCTTGTTCTCGAGTTAGCGCGTAAGTTTGCTTTTACCATGCACGGAAGCTTGCCTCGGCCACCAAGAAATCTGCTTTTTTTTGAGGGCGCTGGTAAAACAAATGTTGCACTGCTGTGTATCCTGCGCGAAATGTCCAAGCACATGAATGAAGATGGAAATGTACGTGTTGATGAATTCAAATGCATCTATATTGCACCGATGAAATCGTTGGTTCAAGAAATGGTCGGCAATTTCACCAAACGTCTAGCTCCGTACAATATAGCGGTAATTACTTGAAGTTTTTTGATTTTCTCGAAATATCGATTCGCCTCAAAATATCGACTTTGTCTACCTCTCTAGTGTTAATATAACAGGTAAGAAACACCTAAATTTTTTGGTGGGAAAACTGCTCACTGAACAACTGGGTCATTTTCAAAAAAAAAAAGCGGTCGCCAAAGGGAAATTTTTTATTTTCGTTTATGCAAAATTTACGATGATTTACGGTATTAAGCGCAAAAGATAGTTGTAAAGCAAGCAGAAGAGCGAAAGCTGATTAAGGGGGAGAGAGCACTGCAGCCTGGATTGGTTGAAGAATCTGTTCGGGACCATATAAATAGATTTTCTATTAGGCCGGTAAAGTACATAGGTATCGTTGTGATCACGTGAAAATACGGGCACATGAAAATTGTGGCGGAAAAATTCATAACTTGAGGATGAGAAAAGCTAGAAGGTTGAAACTTTAGAGGAGTGTTCTACACATATACGACCAAAATCAGGTGTTTAGAAACGTCCAGGGCCCACGCAAAAAGGTAGAATTGAAAGGGCAGGGCAACTTACTTTTTACTTTTGATGATTCCCATCCCATTTCGCATCGATTCTGCCGTCTGTGTTTACAGCTTAGGGATGAAACAGAGACAGGTTACCAGGTTACTGCATATACTGGCTTAATTATTTGGGAGATCTAAATGGCACTTCCAGTGTTTTCATTAATTGTCAAAATTCGATTGTGTTCCTCTCTACGATGGGCCATCAACGCCAAACAAGCTGCAAATGTTAACACGTGGGAGATCTCAGGCCCCTGTGCTCTTCCAATCTCCTAGCCAGTGATATTCATTGTTTGTATCTTTAAAATTTCTGAAACACTTACTTTGATGAAAAAGCGAGAGGTTTCACGTTATTGAGTGATGTGCTTGCAAAAATGTGAACAACGACCACTCCTCGGGTGTCTTCCGAAGAGGTGATGTACATGGGCCGAGCAGATGATGGATGTTAGAGGGAGCTGAGGACCGAAAGGCGTTGCACAGCTTTGCCGGACTTGTGGAATCATTCCCATAACATCACTAAAATTGAAGGGTGAGCACGACTAACACCAATAAAATCGAAAAATAAAGTTTTATTAAGGGAATTTTTAAGAAAATTTCATTTTGCAGGTTGGAGAAATGACAGGCGACCAACAAATGAACAAAGAGCAATTCATGCAAACACAGGTTATAGTATGCACCCCAGAAAAATACGACATCGTC